CCCCCCCCTTTTGAGAATGTCCTGTTCAAACAGAAGCTAGTGTTTCTCTTGCTCCCTTGTTTGGAATTCCGCCAATTTAGCGTTCTTGTTTGTTAACACATAAATAATCAGTTGACTTCTTATCGTCGAGGTAGTTCTCCAACTGCGTTTGTCGCCAATTATTTTTAATGCATGCATTTTTTTTACTCTATTCGTCGAAGTAGAGGATTCATTTGTGTTCGCTCAAATTGAAGATCACAAGTCTTTTGCCCGTAGAGTATTATTTTAACCATGCGATACTAACTCTCAAATACAGAGCAGCTAAGCAAAGCGCGTATATGATTTTAGTTTTCATATCCCTTTTTTAAAATTCCGTTTAGGGACTTACGTGTTTAGAGAATAGGTCTAACACCGAAGTTGTGCTGTTTGTGGATATCAAGCTTATCTTGATGCTACCACACATGTGTCTTCAGATTAATTTGCACATTGTATTCTTTTTTAAAGGATTTATTTCCTTTACGTTTTGTTGACCGCTGTCCTTTGTGCAACCACTACCGTGTTTTGTGTTGATCTTTTGGTGAGATAGTTTTCCAGTGCAACCACTACCGTGTTTTGTGTTGATCTTTTGGTGAGATAGTTTTCCAGTGGGAAAATGACTGTATAAAGTGAACAAAAAGTCAGTGCCCAATGAGTAGGAGAGTCTCCCAGATGCATAACAATTTTGTTTTAGATGTTTTCCTTAGGCCTACTTCGTGAGCGCCCCATTTTTCTTTCTTTCTTTCTTTTTACCAATTTGCACCCTGTGACCTTTTATCATTTCTTATCTTATCATTTTTCTCCAGCAAAAAAAATATATATTTAATTGTCATGAGAAAATCGTTTTCATATTAGGTGTCTTTAGATTATAACTAATGTCATGTTCGTATTTTCCTTATCTACGAAGGTACCTCTTTGCGGGGTTTTTTTTTCGACATCTTGGCCCTGCATTCTGTCTAGTAGAACTTAAAACTTTTTGAAAAGCACACCAAACAGAATAGATCTTGCATTTGATTTTTGTTGAAAACCATCTAACATAATAGTTGATTTTTGTTGAAAACCATCTAACATAATAGTTGATTTTTGTTGAAAACCATCTAACATAATAGTTGATTTTTGTTGAAAACCATCTAACATAATAGTTGATTTTTCCCCTTTTCCTTTCAGGATGTTGTTCTTGCCAGTGGTGCCTCTGGTGCCCTTGACCTGTGCATTTCTTGCCTCGCAGACGAAGGTGACAACATTTTGATTCCACGCCCAGGCTTCTCTCTCTACAAAACCTTGGCAGAATCTTTGGGCATAGAAGTCAGACAGTACGATCTCCTGGTACGCTTTGAGTTCTTTCCTATCACCAAGTCTTTAGTTTTAGTAAGCGTTTTATGGAACTCGTAGCACAATACGGTCATATAAGAGCCGAAGATTAGATGTGTTACAAGAGAGTAATACACACGCGCATACACACACACACATACACACACACACACACACACACACACACACACACACACACACACACACACACACACACAAACACACGAACTGGAGGAGAGATAAGGACGACAATGTTTGATAGGAAAGAAGGAACGGACCATCACAGAGCACTCGCCAACCACCCATATCACCAAGTCTGTAGATTTTCCTGCTGTAGAACTACTGACTCTATATTTATTTCTTTGCTTGTAACGGTGTCGGGGTCAAATCTCCAAGAACCTATGTGTCTCCAGCAAGAACAAAAATATGTCTTTAAACTGTACGCCAAGTGAAGTCTTACAATAAAATAAAATACAATAAAATGAAATAAAGTAAAATAAAATGAAATAGAATAGAATAAAATAAAATAAAATAAAATAAAATAAAATAAAATAAAATATAAAACTCAAAAATCCAAATTCGTTCACCATTGCAGCCTGAAAAATCCTGGGAAATTGATCTGGACCATCTCGAGAGTTTGATTGACAGTAATACCAGAGCCGTGATCGTCTGCAACCCGTCCAACCCATGTGGCTCTGTGTACAGCCGGGAACACCTGCTGGAGATTCTGCAGACGATGGAGAGGAAGCGCGTGCCTATCATCGCTGATGAAATATACGAGCACTTTGTGAGTATGTTTTTTCATATTGTTTCACTTTTCACGGAAAGTTGAAAGGAAAACTCGGCGCACCTTTGAACAGCTCTTGTTCACATTGGTCCAGAGAAAGATATTATAATTTATTATGATTAGATTGGGAACGGAAGCGGCTTCAAGGAAACTTTGTCCTCATAATATCCTTCTCATTAATCTATGACTTTGGAAATACGAATACAAATAGACCTTATCATATTGTGCTTATATAGCATTCTCGAATTTCATTATCTGTCATTTACATAATTGTCTCAAGCTAAAGGTCAAAGCTCACAATAGCTGCTGAGTAGACAAGACCGCTACTGTTTGTTTTCAAACGTCAATAACTGAATTATGTGCTGTGTGTGTAATTCTTTTTTTGTTGTTGGAGTGAATGTATTGGAGATTACTTTAGTGTTTTCCTATAAACCTTTTTTGCAAAGTCAAATCCAGAGACAGATGCCCACTATGTGACTACCCCTCAGAGACAGTGGAACATCATCTGTTCTTCTGTAGAAAACTAACTGATTTAAGGGGATGTTTTCTTCCCAAGCTACCCCACACATCTAATTGCCTCTACTCCTCAAGACAACAATTAGAACAGACATGCAACTATTACCGAATGGCATCATGCAGAAGAGTTAACGCTCAGTTGCTACTGAATCGCTAACAGCAAAGTCAAATGTCATTATAGTATGTCTCGATTACAATTTTTTTTTAACAGAAAGGTCAAGTTATTGTGTAAACAAACCATACACACACCTACATACACATGCAAGTTATCATGTGCCCCTCCAACTTCAACGACACACCTATGCACACATATTTGAAACAAAAGTATAAACGAACACATGCAAACTTACCGCACACTACAGCTGGTTTAAGAAGTTGGCCTTTGCGAGAGAATTCAAAGTTTTAATTGATTAACTTCAAGGGTTGAAGTCCGAGTGGCGTATGAATACTGAATACATGTACAACGTCTATTCCTTCCTTCCAAGACCATTTTTCCTCCGTCTATTGCATTATTCAGCCACTTTGAACTTTGCTTTTGAAAAAAAACAACCAACAAAAACAAAGAAAAACAAAATAAAACAAAACAAAACAACAACAATACCAATATCACGATATTTGGCATGGCGCTAGCCAAGCAATCAAAAGTGCAAACATAGGAAACAATACAAGTTGTTCCTTTTATATAATCTCTT